TGTGTGAAGCGCCAGACCCCTTCACACCATGATGATGATGATGTATGTTCGGGGCTGCATTACAATATTGATTGTTCGGATCATTGGTATCTAAGTCTTCCGCTGTGCTATCTTATACTTTGTATTGAGAGGTCGGTTCTTGTTCTGGTCTGCACCTATACGGTATGCAACAAGGAGTTTACCAAATAGGCGCTGGAGAATCTTAGAGTGGTGCCCCAGGTGGATTTCCACCATTGTGAATGAACGGGGGGGGGAGGGAAGGATGACCGATTCTGGAAGAGATGGGGCCCGTACCCGCAGCTGCTACCCCCACACCCCCAGAGTGGGCGAATCATGTTCGGGCCCATGCTGTTACGACAAGTGGAAGCCGATGTGGAACAGAGTACAAACACGAAAGGAGAGAATAGATAGGGAAAGGATAGTTGTACCATAGATAGCATTAGGAGTAGGATAGGGAGCATGTCCAAGTGGTAGGAGTAAATGAGGAGGGGGGTGGGGGGGGGACAATAAGGTGGGAACTTGGAAGGCAGTAAAACCAAATGGAAACGGTCGGGGCAAATGTACAGGGACTGAAGGTGATAATGGGTGACAAGGAGTAGTAAGGGTAAAGGGAAACTGAGAGGGTATAGGGGAAATGAGAGGACAAGGCTGAGAAGCGGAGGCACATTATACGTCAGCTATAGGGAAGGGAAGCGAGTGACAGAACAAGGGAGACATCTGGGATGTATAAGAGTGCTTGAGGCTGGACATTTGGTAACAAAAAGGGGAGGGGTACTTCCTAAGGGAAGGCTGAGGACTATCAAAGGTAGGAATACATAGATGGGAATGGAGGCGGAGCAGCCGGTGAGGCTGCCAGGCACGTCTTCCCCACGCCTTGCTGTTTACAGGACTCACCTGATGCGTGTATGGGTGCTGCCAGTAAGCTTCCCGGCCAGCACGGGAGCCATTGCAAACAAGCTCTGGTTCGGGGGGAGACAGGCCGAAGCAGACTCACCCTTGTGTAAGCGGCAAGCGCCACAAGGGTGGCTGCAACTTGGTCTGATCTGTCCAATTTCTTCTCGTGCTGTTTTCCTTGTATAAACATGCTTGCCGGTGATAAGCAACCGGACAAAACCCCCCAGAATAGATAGGGCATTTAAAAAGTTAAAAAAAAGAGAAAAAAAAACTCACACTGCCTGATAGAACTAACTAGGGGCAAGAAAATGTACCGTGGCCCTATCACGCACCCATAGGGGCGCCGATATGTCACGCACCCATAGGGGTGCTGATGATCAGGTCCAGGCCCCCCGGTACCTGTGTGGGATGCCTGTACTCGCAAGTGTATGTCTGGGCGGGTTGACGGTATTATGCCATTTCTCTTGACTGACATTTCAGTGCCTGACAGCTAATTCTCCTTGCTGCTTCTACTGTTTTTTCCCTCGTTTTGGTGCTGAGGCACATGGACCCTTTGCCGTTCTTAAAGATTGTTGCTTTGACAATGCCCCAGCTTGAAGAGAACGACTCAGATGAGAATTTGGGGCTCAAAAGGTGAATTTCTCTTTCCCATAATCAACAACTGACTGCCTTGCTTACTGCACCTTGTAACTTTCTGTCCCTGGTTGTCATCTTGCCACGATTGGATTTGCAAAGCTGCCGAAGCATCGAAAAAAGAGCTTCAGGAGGAAACGATGCATGAAAAGAGTCGGTTCAACCAAGAATTTGAGTTCATCAACTCTAGTTTGCGGAAAAAGGAACAGGAAATCGGCGCGATTAAGCAGGTGAGCAAGCTGTTCTTCCTCTCGCGAATGAACAATGCAGAAGTGTCTATGCTCCAATGTTTTAGCAATTATAAAAAGACAAGGGACAGACCCTGCTGGTCCTCTGCCTTTACTTAGGAAACATGACACTGGGTGCACACCTTCCAAAATTGTGCAAGTTCAGTGTAATGTTGTAAATGTAGCAGCAATGGGGTGTGTGAGCATACATAGTGTTTGGAAATATCTCCCACAACACCTGTTTCTCTCAGCTCCCTCTAGCTAAAATGAACACCATGGAGCAATGGTATGGCTGTTATGAACATGATTGTCTGTTGAAATTTTATCAACACTCACTCACAGGACCTCCCGTACACGGCCATACATGCACAGAAGGAAGGGGAGAGGTAGTGGAGTATCGCACCGCCCAACAGAAAGAAACGCAGCGGAAGACTCAGAGGAACGAAGTGACAGAATACACAAACTGTGAATTCTCTCCACACAAGTCCCAACAATCATTCATAGAAGACAACCGAGTGATCAAAGCCAGAAATCAATGAAGAGATGACAACTCAAACACAGGATTATAACTGTTTATTGAACCCAGAGTATCGTTTTCACTGAATAACCCCAGAATCCTGTTGCGCCACCCTCAGAGGGGTAGCGCCTCAACCCCAACACCCTGAACAGCTAAAAATAGCACCGAAACTCCAGGTAACACCCAGCGCCACCCTGACATCCAACTCAGTGGCCTGCGCCAAAGTGAAACAGGCTCCCGGGGCCAATCGCCACCCAGATGATGAAGAAGAAGCTCAGCGCCAACAGTCCCTGATGAAGATGAAGCCCAGACGATGATATCTCTGAGAAGATGCAGCTATGGCTGCATCGCCACTGGGACCCTACTCCTGAGGAGGGTCAGCAGTGCACCACGTRCTCCAACRCATCAGACCTCTGATAGCCCAGACCGCTTTGACTCCCAGAGAGTCAGAGCGGACAGCGTTGACCCCAGTCCGGTCAGCGCTCCGAAGGTCTGGCTATGTCCGCCGTCTCCACCACAGGAATCAGCAACCACGAACTGATACCGTGTGCGCAGCAACTTCCACCACGAAGTGTCAACTGCCAAAAGCCCAGAACTGATGTCCCCATCCTATCTATACTCTACTACTAGCCTAGACCGACCTAGACCGGACTGACTGACCGACCGGTACCGTTTCTGTTTCGGCCTCTCGGGCCCCTCCCTACCCGGCTATAGGCTATAGGACCGTCTATCAGCGTAGGCCCATAGGGCCTGTCTGTCCTAGGGGTAGCCCGGGTCTGCTATTCACAGTTAGGGTAGCTGTAGGAAAATCGAATTAGTACTGGGCCCATATTTCTATATGTACAGATATGTCCCTCACGAATTTTCCATACAGGCAGGTCTCTCGGTTAGTCCTCAGCCAAACAAAATTGCGAATCTACCCCTGACTATGGTACAGCCTCGTCAGAGTGAGGCTACAGGCGACCTGGGACCAGCAAGTCATTGCATGGCCATGTTCGGCACCAATGGCCGACAGTCTGTTCCTGGGGCTCTTCCTTGCTCCATGGCCCCCAGCCCGTTCGTCCACCTCTCTTCTTCTTCTTCTTCTTCCTCACCTCCTGTTCATCCTCCTCTGCCTCCTCCTTGTCACTATCGTCCTTCCTCCTCCACAACCATGCCAGCATCACCCCCTCACGAAAAGATAAAAATTTGAAGGCATGACTACAATCCCGACATCCACACACCCCCTATGGAACTCTGTTGTCCAGTGACAGGATACCAGACACCAGGATATATTCTTTTCATTTTATTTTTTTCTTTCATATGGACTGTCTCTCAATTTATGTGTATCATCCTTGTGCAGGGGCCATGCTCGTCTTCTCCACACCGTTCCAATTTTAAGGGACGTCCTGAAGGATGTACACCAGGATGCCTATCCACAATAAATGCACGTTTTTCAGAATTTCAGATTAAAAACAGTAAAAAAAGTGGAATACCTGGAAAAAAACATGTGTATACTTGAAGAGCAAGCAAATTTTTGCTACTGAGCTCGAGTCAAAATTTGTAACCCAGTTAGCTGATATTGTCGGCTAACTGGACCTGCTAGTGCATGATGGAGTGGCTTCCCTGAGTCTATGCTCTGAGCAGAGCGTAATTAGCAGTTTCGTTGGGCGTGAAATCGGGTCACAAGAGGGAGGAGAGACAGATTCGTAAACAACATGAGATCACGAGAGGGAACAAAAGCAACAAATTTCTTTAGAATTGCATCGCAGGGAAAACAGGTGCTCATTCACAGAGTTGTGCCAAGGTCTGTATGGTCAATTTGCATTACAGGAAGATATAACTACATCAAAATCCTTCTCCTCCTCAGAGCTTCCTAACAGGACCTGGGAACAGGAGTCCCTAGGTCCCAATCGGAGCACGGGGGTAGTAACGCTTCTCTACAAGAAAGGAAGGTAGACATAAGGAACTACAGACCCATCTCCCTTCTAAATGTGGCCTACAAGTTCCTAGCCAAGCTCCTAGCTACCAGAATCAACTGAATTATGGGATACTGCTTCCATGTGGACCAGACTGGCTTTATGCCTGGCCGACTCCTACTAGACAATGTGATTAATCTTTGCGAGTCTACCAGAATTATCAGTCAAAAGGAAGCCTCAGCAGCCATCCTATTCTTCGATTTCGAGAAGGCACACGCTTCCTCCAAACGTGTATGGAGAAGATCGGAGTGGGCCCCAACTTCAGAAAGTGGGTAAGAATCTTCTACGACGACGCGAAGGGCATAGTGCAAGTTAATGGCGTCCTTTCCAAAGCCCTACAGAATGCCAAGATAGGTGAGACAGGGCAACCCCTTGGCTGCCCCAATCTTCATTTTTGTCAAGGAAGCTATCGCAGCCTTCCTAAGAAAAGATATGTCAATAGAAAGACTGGAAAACATCAAGGGCGAAAGAGGCCAACCCTTAACCTGCCAACTACCCTCCTATTTGTCGTTGATCTAACAGTCCTCATCAGAGCATCCAACTCCTCCTTCCAAGCACTAACTAGCGCAATGCAAGCATTCCAATTGGCTTCAAAAATAAAAGTTGGTCAAAAACAGTCGGTTGGTGGCTCACAGATTCCCCCCCTCCAATAGGACTATCGCCAGACGGCCGACAGAAGCTCCCATCCGTTTCTTTGGAATTAACCTCAGTACAAAGAGGCTGCCGACAAAAGGCTGCCACCCCATGTCGGCAGCCATTTTGATGTCACCAATTATCAATAGAATGCACAACTGGCAGGGAATACACACCTTGTTACTCGGAAGAACCTTGGCCTTAAACAACTCGATCTTGGCAATGATGTGGTACACCACCTCGATCTGGTTCCCTTCCTCATAATTCCAACAACACGTCCGACGCAGGGCTGCGACCTTCCTACAGACCGGGAACCCAAATAAACAGCACTTCATTCACAAGGTATCATGGCAGATAGTCACACAATCCGAAGGAAAAGGTGGACTAGGAATCATAGACTCAACACGTAAGATCCAGGCCCTCCAAATAAAATGGATCATCAGACTGACTCTCCAAGGCAACCTCCAATGGGTATCGTTAGCCATCAATCGCGTCAGAGAATTGGCACCCTTTCATTCTCCTCCCGGCATGTCAGGCCTCTTTTGGATCTTCAATCAAAACTGGCCCCTCCCCAAAGAAGACAGAAACAGGAATCACAGCAGGCCGAGGAGGAAGAAGAGAACCAAGGGAACACAAATCCTTTTGGGAGCAACTCATCGTCTCATGGAGAAGGATCTTCCCATAAAACAGAGTCGGCCCCAAAAGGAGAGACAAAGTCCTCAGACAACCAATATTCGGCAACCCTTGGATCAAAGGTGAGAGGGGTCACAGCGTCCAACTCACCAAAGCGAACACCAAATGGGGTCATTGGTTAGAAAGGGGCATTTTGGTGTGGATTCAGCACCTATAGAACGAGACTACAAACACCTGGAGAACCGAAAAGGAACTAAGGGCAATCCGGAAAGGCAGCCACAATCTACAGGCTCATCATCGAAAGCATCCCCATGGAATGGAGACAAAAAAAGTCCACTCAGAAATGGCTTTGGGGCGACTGGGCGATAACAAGGGGACAAACAGCGACCCAAGAGGTCCTAAGAATAGACTGGATTCCATGCTTCATTTTCGCTCTGGAAGAACCCTGGCAACCCGGGCAGATTCCTCAGAAAGGACTTTTTAAAGCTAGCAACCTCAAATGAATCAGAGTGATACTCACACCAACTCCGTCAACCCCAGGTCCCCCAAAGCATCTACCCGGCCTCTGACTGAGAGTACGCAAGCGCTATAAAGAAGAGGAAAGAGTTGGGCACCATATGTTGAGCACCAGCTCTTGGCGCTAGTAGAGGATGATAGTGATAGACGAGTGTTGCACACTAGTGCAGTGGAGGAGATCTGCAGGGAGAGAGAGGGATCCTTGACCTGGTGCCATAGCTTGGAGGATCTGCTGCTGGCACCATAGCCAGCCTTCTGCGGCTTCTTGACCTCCATAGCATCAGCAACTCAAGGCCCTGCCCCTCACTGCCAAGTTCCACACACGCAACACACACACACACACACACACACACACACACACACACACACACACACACACACACACACACACACCTGTCTCTTATACACATCTAGATGTGCACACACACACACACACACACACACACACACACACACACACACACACACACACACACACACACACACACAGAGAGAGAGAGAGAGAGAGAGAGAGAGAGAGAGAGAGAGAGAGAGAGAGAGAGAGAGAGAGAGAGAGAGAGAGAGAGAGGACTATGGGAATATTGCTTCCCTGTGACTGAGATTCGTATTTGTTGTTGGAGGTGAACAGGTGGAGGAGTTGGGTTTAGGAGGGATTGTTATGCTCTAATATTCTGGCATTTTCATATGTTGAAGCTCCTTCTTTGTTGTGGTCATCTTGTCCTTTATTTATTGGAACCTGGAGTTACAATCACATCAGATCTAAGATGTGTGGTATGCAACTTATTCCTCTCTGCAACTGATTTTCATCTGCCAACATATAGCATCATGGCAAATGCAGTAATCTAATCAGTCATCATGTGCCTCTCCGAAACACAGGAGCTTTCTCAGTTGCGTGCAGAGCACAAGCAAGCTGAAGCCGAGCGGAAGGCGTTAGAAATCAGAGAACGTTCACAGCGTGCAGAGCTGTTGAGAGATGAGAATGTTACCGAGATGCTCAGTGATTGCTTGAGGCGAGCAGGGTTGGAGTCATCAGAAGCAGCATCTCCTCGACTTGATTTACCAATGTATGTTTCATGACAAGGTTACCTGCATGCCCCTTGACCGTGTTCGTCTCCCCTTGCTTCATTCGTCTTCTCGTCCTCTTATGTGTTTTTTTTTCCCCTCAATCTCCCTTTTGCTCTCTGCTGCTCATCCATGAAGTATGTCTCCTTATCCTCATACTCTACATCATTGTCCTCGTGCTGTCCTCTTTTACGTTGCCCTTTTCTTTTTGTTAGCTCGAGTATCCGCCTCCCTGTCCTTCCTTTCGTGTTCCTTCTGGTCCAAGGACACCTCCACCTCCTCTTGATCTTTAGAAGTGGTTTTGATTCCACTCTGGAATTGAGCTTTCTGTGAAATCAAAGGGTATGTTAATGATCTGCAGTTCTCGACATCTCAGGCTCGTGCTGTGACCACAGAGAACTGACGAGGAGTTCAAACAGAGAGGTCTGTCGTGTAGATAGCAATCTCTTCATGCATTTCACAGCCACAAATAGAAGGAACTTGCTCTGAAAGCAGCAAAGATCGGTGGGTTGTGGTGCACTGCACAAAACAGAACTGATAAGTTTGTTGAACTTTGCTATTTTGCTTTCTTTCTTCTTCCCTAATCTTATTAAAGGGAAAGCCATGAAAGCGCTTTCCCTGCCCAGGCCAGAGAGGAGGAATGTTTTGTTTGGTGGTCCTTTCTTTTACCGGCCGGTAGCGAGCATCCGTGTGGGAACTGTGCAGCTTCCCTCAGTCAGACGAGCTGGAGATGGTGTGGAAGGGACACAGAGCATTTCTTTTGTTTTTTGCGGGCCAAAGGTAGACACCTTCAGTGCTCAGGTGTGGAAATGCGTGGATGCGTTTGCGGGTGCAGGGTGGGCGTTTGTTCATTTACTTTCTGGATTGGATTCTGGCTGGCACGATCTTTTTATTTTGCAAGGCTAAATAGCCTGACCCAATTCAATCTTCTGTTGAATCCGACAGAATGAACTTTAAGAGAGAGAGAGAGAGAGAGAGAGAGAGAGAGAGAGAGAGAGAGAGAGAGAGAGAGAGAGAGAGAGGG